TTTTTTTGTATGTCTTTACTGATTTTAGAGAGAGGAAGGGAGAGGGAGAGACAGATAGAAACATCAATGATGAGAGAGTCATTGACTGGCTGCCTCCTGCCCACCCCCAACTGGAGATGGAACCTACAACCCAGGCATGTGCCCTGACCGGGAATCGAACCTCGATTTCCTTGATGCTCCTTGATGCTGAGCCACAACCGCCGGGCTTTTCCATTTTTGTAATTTCAGTACATCTAAAAAAGGCTCTAAAACAAGTCTCCCTCTGTATCACAATTACAAGGCCAAGTTTAAGTTAAATTTTTGGTCAGTATGTCTCTTGTAGGGAAAAAAAATTACAAGAAGCATAGAGGTTATTTCAAGTATAATTTAAACTTAGTAAGTAGAAATGTATTTGCCTGTTTTTTTCTTGCTGACACCATTTTAAAAGTTTTTTTAAGTTATTTTAATATTAAGATCTTATGCTTTATTTGTACTATTTGAAAATAAAACCATAATTATATATTTGAACAATTTTAAATAAGTTATTTTTTGTGATCAAAAGAAAAATGCAATCAGAAGATCTGTTAACTATTTTCTAAACTCAAATGTGTAGAAATAAAGCAGAAAACATTATTCCAAATATATATTGCTTTTTATTGGTGTGTCCATACCTATATGATTTTAAACATTTTCTTAAGAACTGAAGCAACTTGTCTAGTGCTTTTCTTTGTGCTACTGTATTTTCTCTCTCCTTTTTCGTTTGCTGTGACTTTTTATCATATGCATGCTTGTTTTGCTTGTCTCTTTCTCCCATGTCCCTTCTTTTTTTTTTTTTGCTTTTCTGTCTTTGGCATCTCCGGCCTCTTAGCCTTCCGGGGAACTTTTGGTCTGTCAGAACTCCATGGCATTCTGGGAGTGGGATCAGGGCCCACCTCCTCCTGCACGACTTCCCAAAAAATCCTTCTCTGAGTGCTGCCTGGTATGTTTCTTAGCCTGAAAGTGCTTTGCAGATGTCCCCGAATCTAGTCTTTGGTGTTCCTTGAATTACCCACATGCGTGAGTGCACAGAGCTCTAGCATGCCTCACATCACTCATGACGTGAACACACAGCCTCTCCGTTCTACTCTTCACTGCCTCTTGTGTTTGGTACCTTTTCATGGTGGTGTATGCTAACATGAATAATTCTGTACTGTTGACAGGTAAAACTGATTATTCAAATCCCTAATCAGTGGGATTGGGAGGGAGGTTGGAGAACAGATTTAGCAAATTATTTTTCTTCAAAGGGAAATATATTAAACATTCAGACTCCCTTTTATTTAAGCGTTTTGTAGAAGTGATTTATTTTCAATCAGCGTTTTGGTTAGGTTTTATCTTCACAGCATTTTATTTTACCCTTTCTAGTCTGTATTTTATGTGTTCAGAAAATCAGGTCGCCAATTTAGAATCATAGTACTAAGAGGAACCTTTGAGCTCATCTTGTCTAACTTGACACGATTTAACTGGAGTCCAAGAGACTTGTCCAAAGTCAGGACTCCTGACTTTCAGGCTGGTCCTTTTCCAGTAACTCTGCATACCAGGTGGCACTAAACAGCTGCTCCTGAGGGCTAGAGGGCTCCTGGTTGTGTTTTGTTCCCATCATGACATCAGCATAAATTTACTTAACTTCACAGTGGTCTTCTCTTCATAAGCTCACTGCCAGTTAGAAAAACAGGAAATTCAGGAAGAGCCTATACTAAAGAGCAATTAGTTCGGATAATTATTAGGATATATTTTTGTAGGTAGTTCCTAGTGGTTTGTTGCTCTTGGCTTTGGCAGAAATGAAGAGAGCATATTAGAAATCTCAGAAGAAATCTAAGGCAACTTCCACTGCAGTGAAATGGGCTTTATTATAAAAAAACATTCCTTGTGAAATGTTTCTCTTTCTCCTCTATTTTCATCTTAAAATACACCTTTTCCTCCAGCTGACCCAAAGAAATCACACTGTTGTCACTTGATTTCGCACTATGCAGAGTCTACCTCACTTCTGGCTGTGAGAAAGGACCTGTGCAACCTTCTGTCTCCTTTCTGTGCATGTCCATGATGCTCATTCTGTGGCTCCGGCAGAGATGCTCATAGCCCTGTGGGGTTCGCTGTTAGCTAATAACTGTCCCCACCACGGGTACAGTGCTGGGTGCTCGGAGTCTATGGCCACTCAAAGGACAGCCCCATTCTACCTTTTCATTTATATAATAGAACATAAACTTTAACCAGGGCTTAATTTTTGATCCAATTATTGACTTTTCCTTCCTATCCCCTTGCCTGACTGTGCGCCTCACTGTTTCCTCCTAAGCCAAGTTTGATACTTAATGCATCTGGAGAATTGAGTCTTAATAGTGATTCTCTCTGCATTTTCACGAGTCCCAGAGACGGAGGGATTGAGGATGGGGAGAAGCAGAACCTTCTTAACATTCACCAGTTAACGTTTGTTTTTTACCGACCTTTAATCTCTGATTTGTAATATTCCAAATAACACTAGTACAACCTGAAATCGTAGGAACTGCAGATATAATTCTCACATAAGATTCCTGCCCCTCGCTCAGGTTAGTTTTTCTGACACTTTATTTCCTGCTTTTATTTATTTGAAAACTGACCTTCAGGTCCTTTCAATAATACCTGTTACCTTTAGTTTCCTAGTGGTGATAGTTGTCTCTCATTCTCAAGTTTCCCTCTTTGTTTGAGCCTCTAAAAAAGATTTGAAGCAGAAAGAGGTATACATAAGTGTATGGGAACTTAATGCTTGTGGAGTTCATTTGATTTTCAAATCTGTTCTTAAAATGATTGCACTGGAAAAGAAACAGATTATTTTGTTAATGCAACATATTTATGTCAGGAGGGTCAGGAAATAGCAGATAAACTAATCAGTTGAATCCCTAATCAGTGGGATTTTTTTTTTAATTGGACCAGATTGTTTTTCTTAGAGATGGGGAATATATTAAATGTACGAACTCACTTTTATTTAAAGAATGCAAAGGATTTTACACATCTTCACTTACAATTTCAAATTCTCCCCTTAAGATAGTAAGATAGATTCCACATATGTGTCTGTAGGAGGATGTGCTGGCTAGCAATCTCTCCCACAGACTGCTAGTTTTACTATATAATTTGGAGTAGTTATTCTGTAAATATGGTCCTAAGACACTTGGATTTAGGGGGATTCTGTCCTGTAGTCCTGATGCAAACATAAAGTACCTGAATGAGCTTCTGCAGGTGGCATAGAAAAAGACAGCAGGTGTCCCATGCAAATCACATATAGTGATTTTTTATTTTCCTGAAAATTCGCTAACCAAAGCTCAAGCAACAGTGCACTGGATTTCTCTGCTACTCTCTTACCCATCACAAGCGATATGGTGTTTCCACTTTCTCTTGATTGTGGAAAAAGGCAAAGGAGGGACGTAGCAAACACGTCACAAAAACAGGAGGCCTCCGGCATGTGGGGCACATGATACTTTCCAGAGTGTTCTCATAGCCTTTCTTGTGGAGTAGGTGGGCCTGTTTTATGCCCATTTTATGAATAAGCAGATACACCTGAGGTCATAAAACTAGTTGCCCCCGGGTTCTAAAGCTCCTGATTTTACTGTTGTGACTTGATTCGAGGAAAGGGTTGGGTTGGGAGCAGTGCCCAAAAGGCTAGTATGTTGAGTCTCTTGATCTGTGGGGAGAGGGGTGGAGGAAACCAGTGATGTGAGAATCACTGGGTTCCTACAGAGCTTTGGATTTGTAACCCAGACACCAAACTTTTTCATTCCAACCATGCTCCTGACTAATCACAACCTTGGATGTTCTCAATAAAAAGACTAAACTAGATGAAATTCCATCTCATTTTGAATGAATTTCAACATAATGGGATTTCTGTCACCGTGGTTTTCACAGGGGCTAACAGTTGGGGGAAGTATGTGTGTCCTCTGCCTTTGGGCACACAAAAGCTTGAATTGCTGTTGCACGTGTACACTTATGTTGTTCCTGCACTTGCTTATTTAAGGTTAAATAGGTCAGAAGAATATCTGATGTTTATGCATTAAAAATACTCTTTCATTTTTAGAAATATATGCAGGAGGCACGAAGTTTAGGAAAAAACCTGAGGCAGCCCAAATTGTCAGACCTCTCTCCTGCAGTGATTGCACAAACCAACTGGAAGTTTGTAGAAGGCTTGTTAAAGGAATGTAGAATGAAGGTACGTATTACTCATGGGTGGGAGGACACACTGTCGTTCGTGTTCACTCCATGTGTGGAGCTAAAATGAGCAGAGGTGACCCCCATTTGAGCCTGTAGCTTCCCTAGATGAAAACTTGTACTGGGCCCTCAGCCTCATGTGCTTTCTATTGAGGTCATGAGCCATGGGCCCTCCATGCCCACAGAATCAGTGACACGGGAGCCCTGCACAGTTCTTGTCATCTTTCCAGCCATTGCTGTCTTCCGCTCCAATATGAACAGATCTTAATCCAGTCAGAAGTTAAGTCAGGGATGTTGTCACCTTATGCAAAAGGCAGCACATTTTTGTGTGTGTGTCTGTATGTGCATCTGTGTGGAACCTTATGCATGCCCATACATGCGTGAGTATACCCACAAGAAAGAAGGTCTTAGATGTGTTATAGGTTTGTGTGTTACACACTAGTCTCCTCTCTGATATCCGTGTTAACCAGAGGTAGCAATACAGATTGGCAAACCTCCGAACATTTTAGCCAATAATTTTATTCATTTATTTTTCAGTCATTTCTCGAGGACCTTCTCTGTGTATTCAGTAAATTCCCTATTTTTAGCTTCTGCAGACAGTACTGAATCAGATAGACAAGGTCCCTGCCTGAAGGAACTAGGTTCTTTCTCACTTTACATTTTATAAGAGCTGCTAAGACTGCTGTAAATTAACTTACCTGAAACTAATTCCCATTTCCTTTCCAATTTTTTGGTGCATACTCATAAACAGACAAAAAATAAAAGAGGAAAAGAATTTTAAAAAAGAGTCATGGTGTACTCACAGTTAGAGAGTTCTGAGAGAAAAAAAACTAAAGCTGCTGGTTTGTAACATAGTTTCTACCTCAGTGCCATCAAAACTAAGTGAAAATACCTTTAGTATGCAGATGCAGGGTAGTGGGCTAACTGTGGAGGCAAGATGGGGTTTTAGACTCTGACAGTACATTTTCTTTTTTTTTTAATCCTCACACAAGGATTTTTTTTTCTTTGCTTTTCAGCGAGGGGCAGGGAGAGAGAAAGAAAGAAACATCGATGTGAGAAAGACACATCGATTGGTTGCCTCCCGCACTCCCTGACTGGGGCCAACTGAGGTATGTGCCCTTGATCGGAATTGAACCTGGGACCCTTCAGTCCAAGGACAGACACTCTAACCACTGAGTGAAACCAGCCAGAGCCTGACAGTGTATTTTATAGGTCTGGTGTAATTACTCAATATTACTCAAGTTGGTAACCTGAAAATTGTCATATATAAACATTCACATGGGGATACTTAAAAATAGTATCATAATATCTCTTTAGTGACCCTCTGTTTCTCTGACAAAATAGTAAAAATATATGTAATATTATTCCAGTTAGTTGACCACAGAGATTAAGGCTTTTTGTCCAAGGTGACTTAAAAATATGCAATTAGAAATATGATGCAGAGAACCTGGGTCTCCTGATCCACTAATGGACTTGTTGGGCTTTGGCTTCACTGCTGGCATAACACTTGTGACCACACGTAATGTTTTCAGACCAAACGTATGTTGGTGGAGAAGATGGGCCACGAAGCGGTGGAACTGGGCCATGGAGAAGCAAACATCACGGGCTTGGAAGAGAACACCTTGATCGCCAGCCTCTGCGACCTCCTGGAGAGGATATGGAGCCATGGCTTGCAGGTCAAGCAGGTAACAGTCTCAGGAGGCCCTGGTGATATGGCCCTTAGGAGCCCTATTAGGAAATATAACAAGGAGAAAGGGACATCATAAAAATTAAAGGGTATGTTTCCTTGTCACAGGATGACTAGAAATGCGCACAGGCATTTTAATTCCAGAAAAAGAAAACATGACGCGTGATTAGGAGGCGGTTCGGGGCTCCTTCCTGGTAAACAGGAAAGGATGAGGCAGCACCTTCACTGCTGGCTGCATCCCCGTAGAGTCCAGTAAGGGTCCGCTTTCATCACTGTCCAGCAAAGAAGTCTGTTAGCTGGAACTAGCAGTTCTTTATCATTTTCAGTTACCTACCTATTCAGGATGGAAAGATTCAAATGCTTTCTTTGCTTTTGTCTCTCTAGTCTCCCTTTCTGTTTATTTTCTGTTGTGTGCATATTTCTTTCTTCCATCTATTTTCTCTTCTCTTTTCTCAATTTTCTTCCCTTGTTGCCATTCCATATATTCAAACATATTTTGCATATGGATGTACACAAAACATCCTTTGCTGCTAGAGCCTTTTAATTCCATGGTCATTGTGTGGCTAGTATGGGCAGCCTTAAGTACATACAACTGAGTAACAACCAGGCTCAAGTCAGAAATCTGTGTGCCCCCTCTTCTGGCCTCTTGCTTAGTAGCTGCCATTCCTCAGGCTGTCGCCAGTGCCTCAGTGAGGCAACAAATGACGTTCGTTCACATAGAGTGACATGCTCAGAATGTCACACAGCCAGGAATGGATGAGCTTGGTTCTCAAGCTTCAAAATGGCCATTTCAGCATGAATGGTTTTGATGAGAAATTATTTTCTGATGAGTTATTTCTTATAAAATGAAAATTTTTGTATACCTTGTACTTTCAGGGGAAGTCGGCTTTGTGGTCACATTTAATTCAGTTTCAGGACAGAGAAGAGAAACAAGAGCACCTTGCAGAATCGCCAGGTGAGAGTTCATTGGTTTGATTGTTTCTACAGGTTTAGCAGCGTTGGACCATGTGAAGAACCAGTACCATATAGCTTTGTCTCCTCCTCTCTCCCTTCAGCTGAAGCTTACCCTGTCTTGCCAGTAGTGGGGTAAAGTGGAAGGAGCATATTGTTTACTAGCTGTGAGACCTTTCTGATCTTCACCTTCCTCATTAACAATATAAGAAAAGTAATTGTAGTCAGGAGAACACTGTGATGTTGATCAAGTAAGATAACACGTAAATTGTGAAGGATCGTACAAGTACAGCAGGTTCTCAAATAATGCCATTCTGTTCAACATTGTTTCATTATAACGTTAATGAAGAAAAAAATCAATTCCTGGCCATGGCCACTGTCTGTTCTGAGTTTTCTCCACGGACTACGGTTTCCTCTTTACATCCTGAAGATGTGCTTGTGAGGTGAATTGGTGTGTCTGATTGTCCCAGTGAGAGAGGGTGTGGGTGTGAGTGCACCCTTCCGATGGAGAGACATCCTGTCCAGGGTGGGTTCCCACCTTACCCCCCTTCTGCCAGGATAGGCTAGAATAAGCGGATTGGAAAGTCATCTTGTTTTTATTAATCTTCCTGAAATACTCACATTTATTTCACTGTTTAATATTAGAACTGTTTTGGGTCTTTATTTAGAAGTTTGGTGATATTTTTGTGACCAGAAATATGCTATAGATACGTAACTCTTTATAGCCTATGGGAAAATGGGTTTTGTCATACATCATTTTGCTTAAAGTTGCAGTTTCTAAGAACTTAATCAATATTAAGTGAGGATTTACTGTATACCTTACTCTCACCAGTATTAGAGTGAAGTGTATATTGATTTTTTCCTAAAAGAAAAGTATTACAGCCTGGCTGGTATGGCTCAGTGGTTGAGCATCGACCAATGAACCAGGAGGTCTCAGCTCGATCCCCCAGTTAGGGGATGTGCAGGAGATGGCCAATTGGCGACTCTCTCATCATTGATGTTTCTCTCTCCCTCTCCCTTCC